TTCTGTTATTCTTGCTTATTGGTCTTATTTTCGTAACAATATGATTCTTCTTGTAAATTGCTGTAATTGTTGAATATTCTGATATGGTGTTAGGTGAACGAATCTAGAACTGATCTAAAATTCGTGTGAAAAGTTATGAACACTATGATGAAATTATGATAGATGATAGATCTTAGAATTAGGGTTTATTAGGAATCGAAATTAGATCTAATAAGTAGAATCTTGAAAGAATAGAGGATAGGATTCATTGGAATCGATTAAAATTTGAGTTTTAGGATGAATGGGAAGATAGAATGATGAATCTTGAGTAGAAACTCGTGAGAATGATGAGATCTGAGTTTTTGGACAGATCTGCTGGTCATACGTGTATGGGCTTGGGCAATACGCGTATGGGGGACTTCTCAAGGGCTGTACGTGTAGCAGACGTGCCCTGTCCCCAGTGCCAGCACAGCCATCTGGTGATACGCGTATGGGCTTGGTCAATACGCGTATAGGAGTAGTCATACGCTTATGGGGTGATCCTGATGGGGTTTTGGGAGGTAGAAGCCTCTAGTCATATGCGCAAGGTAGGGCTTATACGCGTATGACAGCAGGCAATACGTGTAGGGACCCTGTTGGTACGCGTATGGGCAGCTTGAGGTGACTTTTCCCTAATTTTTGTGATTTTTGTCCAGTGTTCGCTTGGAACGCAATTTCGTTCACTCGGTAGGATTAATAGAACTAAAATGAACTTAAGAAATGCTAGTAATGGATTAAATTGGGAGAATGTGGAATTATATGGGTGTGCCCTTTATGGGTGTGTTTGATGAGTGTGAGCCATGATTGTCAAAATTGGACAATCTTGTGCGATTAAGGTAATTCCCGAGAGGATTACGGTGAGCAGATGGCTCGTGTGGATCATTGATGATCGTGAATTATGCTTGAATTATTATATTGCATGATTGTGTTGTCATGCATTTCATGTCACGTGTCTTGTGGAGATGGCTAGGTGGGAATCCATGATGGGTGCCTAGTTTCATTCGGACTTCATGTGGAAGTCGTTGTGGAGATAAGTTGTAGTTCAGAGGAACGTATACGACTTATTCGGATTCTGAATGGAATCGGGTTCTAGGGTGAACCGTATGTGATTGTGTTGGTACCACATGCATTGTGTCGAGTCAGTGAGTCACATTACATATTTGTATTTGATTATGGACTATTAATGCCGAGTGATTGAGGTGGCACGTGTATGTGTATAATTATATGTGTGGTGTGTAACTACTCCTTAGCATGTGTATTTCACCGCTTATTTATTGAATGTAGTTCTCACCCTTTTCTGTTTGTTGCGTCTGTTCTCCTTGGGGAGTGCAGATGACCAAGTACCTGAGTAGTGTTTGGAGTGTGTTGCTATTTGATCGAGTCCTAGGAGTCGCTCTGATACGTAACATGGGATGACGAGATTACGTTATATTTTGCTTATTTTCTTGATTTATGGTTACATATCTTTTATTTGTTGGATTGAGGATGTATGATCACCTTGTGGTGGAGATTATGTTTAAACAATTGAATTTATTCCGCTGTTTAATTGAAAGCTAGATATCATTGGTTTAATTATGAAAAATGAAGTGACTTAGTGTGACATCCTACTTGTTTTGAGAACTCTGATGTACTTTTATGAAATATTTCTGTATATGCTTTATAATACGCGTACGGGGTAGAGTAGGGTGTTACAGTAATGACGGGTCAACTGTTATGCAGGTGACGTCTGTCACTGTTGTGTAAACTGCACTGCGAGTTTTACCATTGGAGCACCCTCAAAGCTCCAATTTCGATTCAGATTCACCTAGAACTCACATCAATTCATCATACACGAACCATATAGTATTTATCACATCAATAACACACAGATTAGACATTTATTTCATCAAATCATCACAAAACTATTCATACGTTCATCATATTAAAACATAGCAACATGAACATCAACATTCAGATTTTTACATTACAATCTTACACGAAATTCAGCTATAAATTTGAACACAAATTTACTATCAATCACAATTATTAAGAAATATTTTGCACAAACCTTCTCCACGTCCACAAAATTCATAAATGGAGAAAAGGAAGAATAACAAGGAAGATGGTTAGGATCCCTCTCCACCCTTTATGCATAAGACACACCTAGATGAATAATTTCTAGGGGTGTACGCGGGTTGGGTTGGACCGGGTTCGCCTTAACCCGTTACCCAACCCGTTCAATTTTCAATGGGTTGGGTTTATCATCAAACTCGTAATTCTACTTTAAAAACCGACCCGAATCAACCCGGATATTTACGGGTTGGGTAGGGTTGGGTCCACGGGTTGTGTATATAATTATTATTATTTTCAATTTAAAAAATCTATAACACAATTCAATATAATTTTGCATATTTCAAACAATTAAATTATTTACGTAGTGGAGACAAATCCTACATATAAAATAGAATAATTAAAAATATAACAATTAAAATTTTGAAATGTATTTTCTTTGTCATAAAAAATATTAAGATACATATACACCATTAATTATTTATATATTTTCATTAATATACCTTAATTTATAAAAATTTATTAGTTATTTTGATACTCAAATGTTATCCATTACAAATATATATCAACATATGTAAAACAAATATATAATAATATACAGTATATATTAGTTGTTTTGATACTCAAATGTTACCTTTTCTAGCACATGCTTAAAAGTAGGTCCGTAAACTATCATATATATATATATATATATTAACACTTAATAATATATAAAATTCCATAAAATATCATTTCCATAAAATTCATAAATTCTAAATAATTCAAAAGCAAATAAACATCACTTAGTCTTAAAATGACATAGATGTATTGGTCCAATATTGGTCTAATAGCACCAAAATCTAACAGCAACTATAAAAGATTCCAGCACCAGCAGTGAAAGGTTTAGCAACTATAAAAGATTCCAGCACCAGCAGTGAAAGGCAGTAAAGTGTAAACTAGAAGTGCATAAGTCAAGCAAGCATGATTAATATTAATAATAATGTTTAATTATAATAATAATAATAATTTAATGTGTGATTGGAAACTGGAAGGAAAGTGCAAAAGATCTTTGTGTACGTTACAATTTACAAAGTTATAGCAACTTTAAAATTTATAAATAATAATATAATAATAATAATAATAATTAATTATGCCACGTCAACGGGTTGGGTCAACGGGTTGGGTCAACGGGTTCATGGGTTTAGAAACTAAAACCCAATACCCGAACCAAATCTATACGGGTTGTTACGGGTTGGGTCGGGTATACCCGTAAATGAATGAGTCCGGATAATTAGTGGGTTGGTTCGGTTTGGGTAGGCGGATTTGCGGGTCGACCCGCACCCATGAACACCCCTAATTTCCCTACCTCAAATTTGCAACAAAAGGTTGAAACTTGGCTATGGAGTTCTTTTTCTAGCTAGAGTTGTCTCTTCCACTCCAAATTCACATTTTCTCCCAACTTTCGCGTACTGCCCCTTCTCTCTCCCTATTTTTCTATTTATAACAAATAAAACTTAATTTTATTTTCATTATTTTCACTCGTCCCCCAAACTGTTAGTAATTCTCTCCTCAATACACTAATTATATTAATATTCTATTTTTCTCCCATAATTCTCATTTCTCATATTTTCCTACTATTTCTATTATTTAATTAATCAAAATTAATAATAATTTGAATAAAATTCTATCCACACTCATTAAACCCAATAAAACACATAATTACTCAAACAATTGTTATAAAACATTTTGATACTTAATTAAAATACTAAAAAAACAGTATGTTACATTGAGACTATTAGGAGCGCAAAGCTCTCTGAGTAATAGTAAGTGTGTATAACTTGAGGAATCTCTTTGATTCCTTTAAGAGGTAAGATATTTATAAGGATTTTTAAGGACTACGGTTTTTGACCCCCTGGACATGGTCTTAATCGTTTCCTCTTTAATAGAGAGGTTATTAACCGTCTTTATTTCCAGAGTCAATAATGACTTTATCTTATTTGATTTCCATGTTTGCGAGACCGTGTCAATAATGACTTTATCTTATTTGATTTCCATGTTTGCGAGACCGTATAAGGGACTCCAGAATTCTGTCAGGACGGTCCAATTGTCAGACGAGATTGCCCTTATCTAAAATTTTACTAAATATGACACTGCAATATATAATTAGTTAGAGCTGTCAAAATGAGTTATTCGACTCTAAACGAGCCGGTCTTGGTGGGCTCGGGCTTTTTAGAGTCGGAGTAAAAAGCTCATTTTTAATATGGGAATCGAAAATTACTACCCGAGTCCGGCCATAGATGAACTTTGGGTAGCCGGTCCTAAACAATTTTTTTAAATAAAATATAAAAATAAAAATGCCATAGTATTTACTATAAATAAATTTAAAAATTATATTATTTTAAGCATAATATATTTTTAAGTACAATATTATTTTTTATAAATACTATAATATATTTTTAAATATAATACATGTTTAAATTATATAAAATATATATATCCGACGTATTTTTATTATTTGGGTGATAAGGTCTGAAGTTTTTATTTTTGATAAATAATATAAGAAGTTAAATGCAATGTTTTCCTTCCGGTACATTAAAATATGAATATAAAATTAACTAATTTTATCCTATTTAATACAATTATTCCATAACTAATAGAAATAATTCTTTTATATTCTTATAACATTATTATATTTCAATGAGATGCAATCTAAAAAATAAAATAAATTTTTTTATTATTTTTAAAATATTAAATGAGATTAACATTCTGACAATAAATGTAAAAAAATATTATTTTATAAATTTTTTAATAATATACTTAAATAAATTGTACTATATGAGACCAGAACAGAAGCAGGAACATGAACAGAAACAACGAATCTTTATAATTTGATTCAAAATAACAAACGAACAAAAAACTCATCCCCAACCTACAACTCCTTTGAAGTTACAATCATGGCTTCCTCTCACTTTCTTTGCATTAACCATGACATCTCCGCTTTTCAAAATCACTTCAGAACCAGACCAAATGCCTCTCCCAACCTTCACTTTCAGACACCTCGTTTCCTCAAACTCAGAGTCATGGCTTCTGACTCTTCTTCCACCAACTCTTCCAGGAAAAAACTGGAGGTTAGTTGCATCTCCCTCTTCTATATTAATTGTTATGCTCTGATATGAATTTTGTTATTTTCTTTTATATAATTGTTTTTTTTTTTGTTGGTAAAATTAGATTGTATATGACCCTGATGAAAGGATAAACAAGTTAGCTGATAAAATTGATGAAGATGCTCCCATTTCAAGGCTTAATTTGTTCTCTCCTTGCAAGGTAAACAAACCATTCTGTGGCTTACAACCTTTTCAAATCTGTTTTCCTGTATTCAAATTTCAATCTATCTTGTGTAGATAAATGTTTTTCTCAGAATGACTAACAAGAGGGAAGATGGGTATCATGATTTGGCATCCCTATTTCATGTAAGCTTATCGAAGTTCTGTAAATTCTTCGGTGCTTTTCTTTTTTACATTTACTTGTTAATGCGATTTATTCTCCCGTGCTTATCAAAGGTGTCATGCTACATATTATCCCTAAAAAAATTCGTAATTAGTCTCTCAAAATTAAAAAGTCAGGACACATTAACTAGTATAAGTTTAACTTCGCCGGGTACTGTCTGTTTGTTAGGAATTAATGTATCCTGAGTTCGTAATTCTGAGGGACTACCATGGATTGAGTTTTGCAGTTTTGTTTCCTTGACTAAAATGAGTATTTACTCTATTCATTCTTGAACTTCTTAACTTATCTTTTATGAGCTTTAAGGTGATAAGTCTAGGTGACACCCTTAAGTTCTCTTTGTCGCCTTCAAATACCAAGGATGCCTTGTCCACCAATGTCTCTGGGGTGCCCCTTGATGATAAAAATTTGGTAAGGCAACACAGAATATTGATTTCATTTTCATCATTTTCTTCTTCCGGGCATTTATTTAGATGATAATGTTATGCGGAAATTATACTTTTACAGATTATTAAGGCGCTTAATCTTTACAGGAAGAAGACTGGTACTGAAAAGTTCTTTTGGGTATGAAATAAAACTGTTGTTTTCTTCTGATATCTATTATTTTGAACAAAAAAATGGCATTTTTATATTACTTGAACTCTACTTAGCACAATAGTTAATATATGTTGTCAGATTCATTTGGATAAAAAGGTTCCCACTGGGGCAGGGCTTGGTGGTGGAAGTAGTAATGCTGCAACTGCACTATGGGCAGCGAACCAGTTCAGTGGGTGTCCTGCCACAGAGAAAGAACTCCAAGAATGGTCAAGTGAGATTGGATCAGATGTTCCCTTTTTTTTCTCTCAGGGAGCAGCCTATTGCACTGGTCGAGGTGAGGTGAGTCTAAATACTAGGCACTATCCTTTCTTTAAATTAGATTGAAGAAATATCACAAAACGTTTACTTCTATGTAGCATCGACACTTCAGATTTAAGGTGTGTTCGGCGTTGGACATGATACCGACACATGTAACCATTCTATTTTCTTAAATTGTCGACGTGTCAGTGTCGGTGTCCGGTGTTCGTGCCAATGTTAGTGCTTCATAGCTATATTAGTTTTATATCTTGTTTTGTGCGTTTAGTGCATCTTCTAAATGATAATATATGATAGATCTGTATTATCTGCACAAGTACAATAGTGAAAGATGTGAATGAACTTATGCCTACTGTCCTGTCTTGCGATACAACTTTGATTCATTCCACAAAAATTTAATAATGCTTGTTTGGATTGACGCTGAGTTTGGCGGAACCATTATTTATAGTTGTGAGTTGACATCGCCTAGATTGATCTTTACTTTGGTAGCCTTTAATATTGAACTATGAAGGTATTCATGCATTCTATTTGACAACTACTATCAGAACTCAAACATGCATTCATAACTCGTTTAACCTTAAGCAGGAACCTAGCCTTAATACGGTTTTCTAATCTTCATATTTTATTAAAAATTTTGCTGTTTACTTGTACAGATTGTTCAGAATATTCCCCCTCTAGTATCTTCGGAAATTCCAATGGTTCTCATTAAGCCTCAAGAGGCGTGTTCAACTGCAGAAGTCTACAAGGTATCTGAAATTTGAAATAGGGATGACACTGTACTTTTACTTCGGCACAATTTTTTACAGTCACAAATTTAACGATTTCTTATGATACAGCGTCTACGGTTGGACCAGACTAGTAATGTTGACCCGTCAATATTGCTGGAGAGAATTTTAAGCAGTGGTATATCTCAAGATGTTTGCATTAATGATTTAGGTATGTTTTCAGCTCAACATTTATCATTTTTCCTTAATTTTTTCACTTCAGATTGATTTGTCATATTGTCAATTTGTCACTACTCCATGATGTATGTCACATGAAGATAATAGAGTCGAGCTAACTGAGATTTGTCTCATTGTATAACTGTATGTGCTACATATGATAGAATATCAAATATACCCCTTATAATGTCTTGCAAATGAATCCTTTCTATCATTGATATAGTTAGCTTCTATCTAATCCAAATTCACATTCACATACATGAGGAATATCAATTGAGGTTGGAACTTTTCTGATTTAGCATCACATTTTCGTTCGATTTTAAATCTTCTTTTCGCATTTTCCCTTCGTTTTCATCTGCAGAACTTCCGGCATTTGAAGTTCTACCTTCTCTCAAACGGCTGAAACAGCGAATTACAGCAGCTGGTCGTGGAGACTATGATGCTGTCTTCATGTCAGGAAGGTGAAGAAACTTGAAACCTAATATCCACAATATATTTCTAGCACTTTCCCCATTTTTTAAACGTCAAATAAATATAATTGCTAGAGCTTTCTGGAACCAATGTTTTCATATGTTAACAAGTTGCTAGAGACAGAAACATGTAGAAATGCTTTACATGAGTCATGTCATTGTGGTTTCTTTAATATGTGTTGACTTAATATATATCATGCAGCGGAAGCACTATTGTTGGAATTGGTTCACCTGATCCTCCACAATTTCTTTATGATGAGGATGAATACCGGGACGTATTCTTGTCAGGTTAGCTTCAATAACTTGGTCCTTTCTATAGCATAAGATTATGCAAAGCTTCATAGTTTAGCATTGAAAGTTGTTGGAAATTCCGCCTTCATTGCAGTCTGCCACTAGTCACCTAATTGCAGCATCTGGGTTGCAATTACCTGAGTTGGGTAACAGGCTCTATAAATAAGAGCAAATAAGTGGTTACTTGTCATTGTTTCTAAAGTGGACTTTTCTAACCTTTTAATATTTCTAATTGCAGATGCATATTTTCTCACCAGAGAGGAAAATGAGTGGTACAAAGAACCTGCTTCAAATCCTTCTGCTTCTCATTCAGCGGTTTCTGAATCTGTTTAATTTATCATCTTGTATTATAACAAGATAGTAATGTAACATTCATATGGCCTCTTCTGTTCCGCATCATTTTTTCTTTTAGTAGCTTTTAACTACAAAAAACTAGATTTGTTGTAACTCATGTGCATTGTGCAATGCACCAAGAAATAAAAATGTAAGAAAATATTTTTTATTTATTTTTGGAAAAAAATTATAGAAAAAAATCCATGCATCATTTTTACGGGGAACATTTCATGTACATAATTTAAATATTACTTTATAATATATTAGTTGCATTTAACTTAAAAGAGAATAGTTGCATTTTGAAATTTGGTATAGATTACTTGAATGGCAAAAACAATTATGAAGTATTTGAATTATACGAGTAAAAGGAAAATTACTTATCCAACAAACATGAAAAGTATCACTACTATAGTTTTAAAGGTTAATTATAGCTCTAATCTCTTTATTTTCATTCACTCATTAAGATAGTATTTTTCAAGAATATAATATTTTAGAATTGTTCTGCACTGATCCAATGGTTAGGTATGATAGAATCTACTTCTGTATCCAAAATGATCCAATAGCCATAGCCCTGTCAGATAAGGGCAAAGTGAAGCTCTCTCTTCTGCCACTCTGCCGAGGAAGGTTGGCCAGCTGACCTCTAGGATCAACTGCCCCTCGTCACATTCCTACCCGTCACACACTATTTCACCATTTAGAAACAGTGACGCATGTGCCCGCGACCGCGCCCTTACCCGTGGCAACGTCTAGTTTCGAGCAGTTTTCCCCGTCTCAACGACTAGTTTCTGACAATTACCTATTCTTTGGGGAGCAGATATCTCGCGCCGGAAATAGGGACCAATGGCCAAGCGCCGGGGATATTATAAAAACCCTCTCACTTGAGAGGGTTTGGTATTCTAAATCATTTCAAAACACCCAAAGACATGCACTTTTTGTACTTGCTTTCTCTTCGCCTGATTCTTACTTTAACATCGGAGTGCCTTGCAGGTACATCCCCTCCTCATCCTTGCAACTCAGCATCACCGACAAAGTCTCTGGTCCACTTCAGGTTCTGATCAGCCGTCAAGATCAGTGGCACTGTCTGCGAGAAACTTTGTTCTCCCCGTCTTTCTTTTTCCATAAACTCAAGACCGAAGCAGTTCTTTCAAGATTTCGATCATGGTCAGCCATGACAATGTCCATGATGCTCGCAATACCATCCTCCCCGTCAGCAAGACAGACACTGACAGAGCAACCTCTTTTCATGGGAGCGAAGTCCATCAACAGAGAGATGGAGTCACCGCGTCTCCTTCCCTCGATCGCGCTGACAACGTCAGGGGACAACCTTCCGAAGATCATCAGACCATTCCAGTTCCGCCCAACGCCGAACCGACCATGGCGGCCCTACTCGAGGTCCTCAAGAAAACAAATCTTTTGATCCTCCAACAAAATGCAAGAATTGGAGCCTTAGAAGAATCTTGCCGACCAAGATCTCCTCCGATGAGGAAAGAACTCCGAAGATCTCAGAGTCTTTCTCCTAGACGAGGAAGAGATCATCGAGCACAAGCAGAACCAAACTCTCTGGCAGTAAGAAAGCGCGACCGTGCCTCTCCTCGGAGCCAACACTCCCCAGGGGCTAAGAGAACCAGAAGGGATTTCCGAACAGAGCGTCATTGTTCGTCTCCACCTAGATCTAAGGCCCAAGCTCGGAGTCCATCTCCCCACAGAGATCACAGTCCTCTCCCCGGACGAAGTACCCGCTCCCTCTCGAGGTCTAGCAGCAACAGCGATAACGAGCCCCACGGCCTGTTGTCCCAGGAGATTATGGCCATGTGCCTACCCAGAGGGCTAGAGAAACCCCCACCCTTGGGCACGTACGATGGCACCACAGATCCTGACGAGCACATCGAGAATCTCGATGCCTTTCTCGACTAACGTGGCGCGAGAGGCGCCATCAAATATAGATTGTTTCCAACCACGCTGAGAAGGGGAGCAATGACTTGGTACAAGAAGCTCCCCGACGAATCCATCACATCTTGGAGGTAGTTGGGGAGCATGTTCTCCATGAATTTTACGGCCTTTCGTCGTCACCCAAAGAAAGAAGCCTCCCTTGAGGCCATCATTCAAGAGAAAGAAGAACCTCTTCGAGCCTATATCGAAAGGTTCAACAAAGAAGTCGTCTAGGTCTCCACGACCAACGATATGAAGAAGTTCTTGCTTGAGCAAAGACTCCGTCCCTACACCGAATTTGCCAAGGAGGTTGGCATTGAGACTCCAGCGATGCTGGACGCCTTCCTCCTTAAGGCGCAGTCGTACATCCAGTACAAAGAGAAGGAAGCGGCGAGCTCCGCCTGGGACTCAAGGCACCAAGAGAGTGCCAGGTACTCTAGGCAAGACGACCCATCGACATCTCGTCGGGGAGAGAGAAGACGAGATGACCGCCCACGGGAGTCCCGAGACAACAAAGGGCCTTCTATCCATTTTCACGAATATATTCCACTGACTGTCTCTCGAGAGAAGATTCTCTCTGAGTGCATCAACTCAGAGTTCCAGCAAGTAGGGGTCCATTTCCCTAAACAAATATCGACCAAGTCGAACACAAATAAGGTGAAGTATTACTGATTCCACAAGAGCCATGACCATAGGAACAACGATTGTATCCATCTGAAGGATGTAATTGAGATCTTAATCAGGAACAGGCACATGAAACAGTTTTCCAAGAAGAAGGATGCTTCTAGGCAGGATGCCCAGGATTCAAAGAAAGGCAAGGAGGAGGTACCTTCCTCGGAAGAAACCAGTCTTCAGGTCGCCATGAGCATCTCGCGGCCAGAAGACTTCTACATCCCCGAGGAGCTCAACATTCCCCCTTATTTCTGAGTGCATCAACAAGGTATGGTTTCAACAAGGTAACCGTGGGATTCGTCAAGAGGAAGTTCGAGCATCTCATCAGCACAAGTTCGAACTAGAGTTCCACACTTGATATGATCCGGGGATAGCCGATCTACATCACCTTCTACCGCGAGGAACTCCTCGATGGGGCTCCCAACTCCATCATCCCTCTGCTCGTGAGAGCTCAAATGGCTAACTTTAACGTTCCACGCATCTTGGTCAACCAAGGAAGTTCAGTTGACATCATGTATTCTAGCTATTCTCCATGCTTCAACTAGACGAAACCCACCTGATGCTCTATGTAGCTCTGATCTACAGGGCTTTAACGGGTCAGTCACAAAGCCGTAGGGGTACATGGAGATGATCATGACTTTCGTGATAGCAGAGACGGCCAAGTCCAACAAAGTCCAGTTCCTGGTCATTGAATGCCTATCCCTCTACCAATGAATCTTCGGACGACCAACGATGGCCGAACTGGTAGATATGCCATCAACCGTGCGTCTAAAAATGAAGTACTACACTTCCAAGGGTCTCATGGCCACCTGCACAGAGACATCGAAGCAGCGAGGAAATGTTTCGAGGCAGCCTCAAAAGGGCTGAACAAAATTGACGTCCGACCAAAGACTCCAAGCAAACCTACTCTGCCCTGCAGCTCTGATGAGGCAAATTCGCTACCCCACGTCGACTCCATCGACCTCGACAGCCGTTTCCCGAGGAATATTTAAGGGACCAGAAGTGAAAGGGGAAGTAGATCCAGCCACGTTCGAGCAGCCCCTCCACTTCATCTAGCAGTAGCCAGACCTCTCACCCGAGCGGCCAATCCCGGATGGCGAGTTCAAATTTTTCCTGCTCAGCGACGACCCCCGGAAGGGAGTGAAGATTGGGACTGATCTCCCCAACTTGGCAAGAAAGCAGCTCAACCTTGTCGCTACGCGAAAAATGACACAAAGTCGCCACCAGATTTTATTTATCCCAATGAGGGAAAGGGAAATAGCGATAAAACCTTTAGGAAAAGGAGCATGGTCATCGCAACCAAGTCTTAGGGTTCGGGAGTCGGTTATGCAAGGGGAAGGTGTTAGCACCCCCTCGCATCCATCGTACTCGATGGGAACCTCCTAGGTTGTTTCGCGTGAATGGGTGTTTTATTCTCAAAGTTTACTTGCTTACGGAAAAGAGGGGTTGGTTTAGTTATTTTAATGCTCGCCAAGGATTGTGGCCCTTGTGCCTACGTATCCTCACTTAAAAGAAGTGAAGAATCAGAGCTCCGTAGTTCGGAGGCTTGTGAAATCGTTGTTTGTTGGTTGATTTTATACCTTGAAAAAGGGTTTTTTGATTGAAGCCCTAAGGCGAAAATAAGTTTGATGAGTTGATGTTATTTTTAAGTTTCTTAAGAGAAATTGTTCTTGATTAGGATTATACACAAAGGACTTTGGATAGAAATGAATGTTTCGAATAACCAAGTCGAGCGCCTTGTATCCAAAACATTCGGAATGAGTGTAGGAGGACTCCATTCTCATTCCTTTTCCACCACTTTAAAGTTCGTGGTGCATGATTCTAATCGTTTATGTTGTTGTGTTTTGATTTTTTATGAGAAAAGAGAACCACTTGACGTTGGATCAAGATTTATTGTTTGTAAAAGTATTTGAGGTGATACGAACAAGGTCGATGGCGGATGCACAAGGCGGCCGACTTACAGGGGTTGAAAATGGCTCGATAAAATCGAGAGTTTGTTTTTGAAAATGGTTTTTGGAATCAAAAGTCACCAAGAATAATAGCAACATTCACACTAAAATCAAACAAACATATGGCGTTAGTCGGCTAAAAAAAAATCGAGACATGCAATGAAAACGGCGAACTCCTTGAGAAAAATTTTTTTGGAGGTAAAATATCGAAAAAAGTAGCGAAACAGTGGTGTAACACGGGTGGCCGTGTTGTATGACACGGCCCGTGTCATAGGGTACCTGCAATGTGAGTTTTGGAGCGTGACAGAGGTGCAACACGGGTGTCCGTGTTGTGTGACACGGCCCGTGTTGTAAAGCCTGGGTGGAAAATGATTTTTAGGGCAAACAGGGGTGCAACACGGGTGACCGTGTTGTGTGACACGGCCCGTGTTGTGAGGCCTGGGTTTTTTA